TTGAGTTTTTATTCAGCCAGCGAGTGCGTTCGGTAGTAGTTTTATTTATTTATTTACTTGCACAGTTGAAATTAAAACGTCAATCGATGCAAGAGTGCAATTTTCACAGGCAATTTGAACAGATTAATAGCAACGACCAGAAGTAGTTTAAGAAAACGTATAGTACGTACGGATTTTATTCAATAGCATTGGCATTTGGAAGTAGATTTTCATTGGATGATGCAAAAGACCTAGGCACACATGAAGAAGATGAGCTTTAACAAGCTAATTGAAAGAGTGTAATGCCAATGTATATACATCTCTCGTCACAATTCTGGCTTCGTCCAGAAATCAGCGCGCTCTCACTTCACAAACATTACTATGATTTAACAAAATAATTAGCGGTTATTATAGATTGCATAATTTGCCTTAAATACTCTGTAATTATGTCTCCTGTAATGTTTGTTTTCTTGTGTGTTTGTGTATGAAATGGGTTTTCTCCATTCTCAATTGCGCACAACCATCCACCATCAGCACACATACGAATCGGCTCTCTATTATTTTGCTTGTTAGTGCATTTCGGCATTACACGCGTTTATGTCGCCGGCTACATAGTAGACCTTTTTTTTGCTGTCGTTATTGCAATTGGTTTTTTTTTTCTATCTTTTTGTTCGCCCCGCAATGTATTCCGTCAACTTTAATGAGATATATGTGTATTTTAGCTGAGAGAAAGATGCAGCAACTAAATGAAGACGGATGATTTCAACGAGAATTGATCGATTCGCGCGAGTCACACACACAAATCAGTGTTCTCTTGCTCGATTTAAAATACAGACGACGATGACGATAGAGCCGTTATTTTTGTACACGAGCCTTCATTTAACACATTTTATAAATCAATTCACATGCCGCAAGCCAATCCAATGCTAGTATTAAACACTCCATTTGTGTTAGAGACAAGAATATACACCCGATTCGAATGTGTGCCTTTGGCGGTGCGTACGAAGAAAAAAAAAACTTTATTCACCAGCGAATTATTTAATTAAAACAAATCGAATACAGATGTGCGAACAATCATAGTGCGACGGTTGATGCTGTTGTCATAGTATAAAATGAGATGTGATTTGCTTACGTTTTCCATGCTCCGAAGTTTGTGCAAGAGAAAATTCGCAAACAGCTAAGATACAGTTTCTATTCAAGAGGTTAATGAATGATATGGCGAAGAGAGATAGAAAGAGTGAGAAGGAGATTTAATCACGGTTTTTTTTTCATTTGCGGATTTTAACACGCTTCTTTGATCTCTCGGGGTGCCACTTGATTGCAAACAAACGGCCATTGAGAACAAATGAAAAATGTGCACTCACACAGTGGCACACACACACATTTGCCCATATTCGAAATCGATGACATTTTTTTCGGCATACACCGCGAATCGATGCACAGATCTATCCACATTATAAATTTAACGTATCGATTTTTTGTTCGAATTTATGTTGGACGAAAAAAATAATAATAATATTTCGCATAGTTTCGCATTGGGATACGAAAAGTGTGTGCACGGCTGACGAAAATGCAGACCATTTCAGTTTTGTTCACATTCAGTATGTTGAGTTGTTTGTTGTGCCGAAGGTTTTTATTACCTTTCGTATGCACTGCATGCAGCGCGGTTGCATTGGGTGTCGGGTGTTTTTTTTCTCCTTCTTTTCCAAATCAATATCTAGACATTCACTTGAATAACAACAGCACCAACAATACCAACGAAAACAAAAAATAATATATGTTTATTTGGTCGCATTACGATACATTCAATCGACCATTGATCGCATAAAACATTGAAAATTGTTAAATTAGTGTACACACTGTGCGATCGCATATTGTGAGTGATTATGGTAAACGATGGCGGTGGCGGCCACGGTACTCGCACACAAACACCAAAAGAATCTATAATAAAATGCTAACTGTGACTAACCCGACAAATCGAACTCGATCGTGCAAATGGTTGGTGACATTTGATACGAGTGACGAAAGATATTCGGTACGACAATGAGATCACAGTAAAAATAAATGTTGAGCAAAATGAAAGAGAAAGAGAAAAAAAAAACACAATATGTAAATAAATGCATAAATAAATTTGTGCGTTTTATGACACATATATTTTAAAATGCAAATGTGCTGCGTGCAAAAAAAAATTGTATCGCATAAGCTATGAAAAATGCCGAATCGTGTCAAGAAAGTGATGGAGAGTGAGTAAGAGAAAGAAAAGGGTTTTGTATGGTGGCGATTAAATGCGCGCTTTGGATCTCTTATTTTACACTTTTCGTCCACTTCATTATGATTATATCGTTCAATGCGCATACGATCTTGGAAATATACTCTTTTTCTCTCTCTCACTCTCCGCCGCCACTCATGCCAGTCTCCTTGGTCGCGCGCCATACACTTATTTTACATTTGGCTCTCATTTTTTTTAATGACAGACAAATAAATATAACATTATTATGCTTGGCTGTGTGTACATGCGCGCATTGCCAAGTGAATGTTCATGAGTTTTATTGAAATGTTAAACGTCGCATTTTTTTCGTACTTTTTTCTCTGCTCATTTCTTAAAAAGATTCTTTTTCTTAAGTTTTTTCTTTGAGTAGAAACTGTTGTGTATTTCAATTCTCGTCGTCATCGTCTCGAGTATGTTTTTTGCTCTTTTGCTCGCTGGGCTCTGATGGACCTCTTTTCATCAATTTGTGCAGAATTATCGCTTGGACATAATGTGCACAAACAATAGCTCGCTGGAAACACATGCACTCTTGCGTCCCTTTCTCCTCTTTCTCTATTTCGATTGAAATTTTGTCCATGCATACATCTGTGTGGGTATGTGTGTGTGTGTGTGTGATTCTTTGCATGCACTTCTTAGAAATTAGGCATACAAAATGATTGTTCTACACTTCATCATCACAAAAGAAACAAGTTCGTCCAAGTTTGTCTCGTTTCTTGTGCGTACGTTGTCATTGTTGTAAGTCATTTATTTTATTTTATTTTTTCATTATTTCTGTTTTAACTCCGTTCATTGTTGTATTTTCGCTTAAGACATTTTCAATATTACTTATTGTATTTCATTTATTTTTAATTTTCTACATCTTTTCATTCTTTTTGGATTTGGACTCATTTACTCTTTAATTCATATTCAAATCCATTCATTGAACAATTATTTATTATTAAATTAAACTTCACCTATTCACGTCCGATTTTGCATTGTTCATTTTCGTTTGCTTGCAGACATATAAATATACTCATTAGTTCAAAAAGTCACATTAGAATCCCATAACCATCAATTGATTTTATGCGTATACAAGAAGTTGTTATTTTGTTTTTGATAAGCATTTTGTTTTCTGATGATGAAGCGTCCCATTCTTCGATAAGTGCTAATGTTTCTTATTTTCTGGCAAATGCGTAAATAATTCTAATTGAAATGTTTGCTTTCGGTCACCGCTCAAAGTGCTGATGCAATTGAAACTCTTGAGCAAAATCGCAATTTTGAAAGTCAATTCGAAGCAATAAATGATTTTACTCAAAGTGTAGTTCATAAAAAAATCGAAAATATTCGGCAAATTTTTATATTCTCTGTGCCTCAATTCATTTTGTGCAATTAAATTCGTTGATATTAACGATCGATTAAAGAGTCGCACACAATAAAAATGAACGGTTCTTATTTTCTAATTCTGTTGCAATTTGAATCAAATAACACTTGAAACGTTAAGTGATACTATTGAGAGAGCGAGAAAAAAGGGAAATATAATTGTCATTGTGTAAGTGTATGTTTGAAGAATGAATTTCAAAAAAAACAAATGCGGTCCATCGGTTAGGACCGTCCGTTAACGGTTAAAAATGCATTGCAATTTAATGGTCGATCATTTAGTTCACATCAAAAAATTTCTTCGTAAAGTTTGCAATGACTTTAAAAACAACATAATTAACTCAAAACTCATCTCCTGCATCCAATGTGTGCACTGTGCAAACAACGCATACTCGCACAAAAAATAAGGAATTGTCCATAAAAAAATTTATGGCCAATTTCTCTCCTTCTGCATTCTCCATGCTACTCACGGTGCAAATTATGATGACTTGATCTAAAAATAACATCCTGATCATTTACAATTTGTGCAACCATTTTCTGGCTCAAATGTTATATTTTGTCTTCAATAACACACAAACTATACGAGACAAAATATTGACGTTTGGTTTCATTTGTTTTTGTGTGTGTAGGTTTTTTCCTTTTGTTCGTGCACAAGAATTAATCATAAGTGATTGCTGTCGATGACTTGAAAATAAAGCGATCATTTGACCTTCGCTATGCAAAATTAAATTCAATCGACTGAAAAACAATCGAGAGCTTTGCATTCGATCGTTTATTGAAAATCTCACCTAATGTGGGTCGCCCTTTCAAACGATGTTCAAACAATTAATCGGTTCTTGCTCTTTTTCTCTCTCGCCTGGTTTTTTTTTTTGGGGTTTGATGTGTATGTGTATCGTGTAACAGACATTTTCCGAATTGGTGGTTTCTCCGGTTACAATACACAACATGTTTTTTAATGAGATGCTTTATAGGCATGAATAACCACAAACATTGTTCAATGTTCCGAAAAATTTATCCGTTAATGAAACCGACAAAAGGATGGCATACTGAATGAAAAAGCAAACAGAAGGAAAACCGAATCGAAAAAAATGACATAAAATGGAAATCGCGGCTAGACGAAGTGAGAAAGAAGAGGAACATTTTTTGAAAGAGGCGTAAACAAGTGAGCCAAGTGCAAGACATGACTTTCAATGCGATATGCTTTCTTTCAAGACAAAAAAATAATGGTGTTTTCATTAACGAAAATGTTTTTCCGCTTGTAGTTTGTCCCATTAAAAAAGATCTTTTTTTTTCTTCTTCAGCGATTTTGGTGACATTGATTATCGTTCGTTAAGACTGTTCAATGAATTTCATGCGATTTCGAAGAATAATGGAAATGAATTGATGAAAAACTTACCCATGCGCCGACGGATGATGAAAATTTGATGCAGCTACAGCCGACGGATCCCATAAATAGCGAGCACTCGATGAATCATGTGTCTGCAGTGATGGAGGTGAATGATGGTGTAAATGTGGTAATTGATTGTGACTTCCCATTGCGTAAGGACTACAATTTATTCAAGCAAAAACAAAACAAAATTAATCTCAACTATGCAATGGTTTGTTTTTGTTTTTTTAAAGAGAAACTACAGCAACATTTTGGCCAAAATTTTGAATGGATTGAAAGTCGTATGACTAGATTCCAACCACATAAAAATCGACCAAAATGCCGACCAATCTTTTTGTAAATGATTAAAAAACAATATTTTGGCTAATAATTCCGTACCGATGCAACGGCTGACCATCAATTAACGGTGGTTGCTGTGCAGATGCTGGTCCAGTTGGTAACATACTAAGCACATAAAAAACAATACGCTAAACTGAATCTACCCGAATTCATCAAGCAATCGACAATGGCATATTTTTTTTATCCTCAACTTTTGAGTGTCGAGAAGCGGTGATGATTTTCTTTTGGGCTTTCACGTTTCTTTCTTCTCTCTTCTTCTTCTTCTTCTTTTTTTTTGCTTATTCTGAAGTGCACTTAACTGATTGTAAAAATTTTAAATGTCAGTCTATCTAGGTTCGATGTAATCGGTCGTAATGTTATTTTCAAATTTTGTTCGTTTTAAACATCGAAATAATTTTGTAAAGTTCTTCTTCTTTCTTGTATGTATGTTTCGGTTTCCGTTTATTTTGATATCACATTGTTATTCTCAGAATGATGAATCACTTTATCGGTTTTAGTTTTGTTGAAAAGTATGTGCACCTTTTACATTTACTTCGCATTGCTTAGATTATAGTCAACAAAAACACGTCAAAAATGCTCGTCAATATTCACTTAAAAACGATTTTTGTTGCATTTCATCAGGGTACTTATGATTTTTGGCATCATTTTTTCTGATGTGTCATGTGTGTTTTTGCTTCGCTTAACGTCGATTTTTGTTATGCTAACGTAAGCGTAGTCGAGGAATAAAAAGTCGATCGAGTATGTGGCACTGTGACGCCTATATAAATTGGCCGTACATGTGATACACAAAATAAATGTTGTACATTAGACCAAAATGGCAGTAAATTATTGACATGAATCACAAAGTTAATTGAATCCTTTAGATAGCGGTCGATTGAATTGATTTGTCGATTGTGGTCAATGCAAAGCCGACAAAGTAAATTATAAATTTTGTTGAACGTTTAACAGCAGCGCAAACAACGAAAAAATGCTGACAAAAAAAAAGCAACACACAATCGAAACGGAAAAGAACCACGCCAGAGCCGAACCGTTTACAATTCCATATACACAAGAACATATAACACTTTGTTGTTGCCGTTGTCGTTGTGGCCGTTGTTGTTTCTCCTCGCGCGCTCAGTTTCTCGTAAACGGTTCAAGAATATGAGAAAATATAAAGAATGCGTCCGTCTACACGTGAAATAAGTCTCTCTGTCTCAATTAATAATCCTCGTAGGAAATATTAAGTTATTAAATGAATAACATCGTACATCGGCGAATGTGTGTATTGTGTGTTGAATATATGTTATGTATGTTCGATGCGAATATGCTAATGAATTACGGAGCTTTTTATTCGCGCTTATTGTCTCTGCGCTGTGACTTTGATTCTCTTGTTCGTTTCACTCTGCTCGGTCGTCGATGTTTTAGGTTTGTTTTTTTTTGTTTTAATTTGCTTGCCAGTGATATTTTTGTGTATATGTCTCTTCTTTCGCTAAATTGAGCCGTTCACAGAGAGCAAATACGCACATTTGAGTTCATTTTTTTCTTTTTTTTCTTGAATGCGCTTCAATTTCTCTCTCATTTGACGCCCGTCATATGTATATATGCACAACAAAAAACTATTTTTGTATTGTAAATTTGCGTTGAAAGATCCAAAGAAATTGTGTATGTAAAATTAGTAGC